AGTTTGTCTCTCGGAGCCAGAAAGTCCAAATTAATACAACAGATAGGGTACTAACCATTCTAATCTTTGGTTTCATTAAAAAACTGCTGAGAAACTAAATATTACTTTGTACTGAAAATTAACCAGTAGTTATTCTATTGAGCATATGAAAGGAACCTTACTACAATAGAAGAGTGAAATCCAAACCCAGAAATTTGCAGTTTAGGTGGAAACATTAGGAAGGAAGTCAATTAAGAAAGAGAAAACTGGAAACTGATAATAATAATATAGCAATAATTAAAAAACATGCAATTTTTATTGAGTATTTACTATGGTGCTAGGCACTGTTCTAAGTTCTTTAGATGTATTAACTCACTTAATCTTCAAAATGAGCACGTACTCCATAAAATAGGAACTAACAGTATCTCATTTTTTTTCAGGTGAGAAAACTGAGTCACAGAGAAATTAAATAGGCTGCCCAAAGTTACTATATGTCTGATTTAGAAGCCCACAATTTTACAGTCTCTGCCACTCCTCTCTTATAATGCAAAGGGAGAGGGGTCAGAGAGCCCAAAGAAAGTTAGCAAGGCCTTTCAGCCTAGATATCTGAAATTTAATAAAAATTTATTGCTATATTATTATTATCAGTTTCCAGTTTTCTCTTTCTTAATTGACTTCCTTCCTAATGTTTCCACCTAAACTGCAAATTTCTGGGTTTGGATTTCACTCTTCTATTGTAGTAAGGTTCCTTTCATATGCTCAATAGAATAACTACTGGTTAATTTCAGTACAAAGTAATATTTAGTTTCTCAGCAGTTTTTTAATGAAACCAAAGATAAGAATGGTTAGTACCCTATCTGTTGTATTAATTTGGACTTTCTGGCTCCGAGAGACAAACTCTTGAATGAATGAATGAGTTTGTTGTAAGGAGATAGGTGTGTCTCATTTAGAAGCTAGAGAATGGAGCCAGGCCTCATAAATAAAATGGAGCAAGAAAGTGGAAGACTGCTGGGACTTCAGGGACTCTCCTCTCTCAGCTCATCTCTGTGCCTGCTTTGCCCTCCACCCACAGAATGGCTACCAAGCGTGTATGGGAAGAGTGGCTGCAGCACACTCCTGAGTAGTTTCACTCTCCTGCAGGGACTTATCTAGATACAGACCACAATTTTTGTTGGTTCTAAATTCCTAGCATCTTATGAGCCTTATTAGACTCAGGTGTCCTCTTCTGTTCGTAGAGCGCAGGGACAGAATAGCAGAAGAGCTAAGAGTCCTCCTTTCTGGGCGGGCAGACCAGACAGCCATACGAGGGTCTGCTGCACACAGATAGGGGCCGATCCGAGCTCCGTTCACTCTCACGACCTCCTCTGAAATAACCCCAGAGAAGTCATGTAGGAGTTTTTGTATCAGTGACTTGCTGTGTGTTTCAGCTTCCTTGAAATCCTGACTCAGTCCTTCACACTGCTCTCAGTTACAGTAGTCTGTATAGGCAAACTCCAGTTGCAGAGTGTGAGGGGCACATTGCAGATTTTTTTCTGCCACAAATGCCTTTCTCAGACAAAATAAGCAGAAAATGTGCTACTTATTAGCTAATAAGAATAAGAAAGCTGACTCTTCTCATAGAAGTAAAAGAATTTGATGGTTAAGATATTATGTTAAGAAGTATGCTTGGACCCTGGTTATTGGGTGATGTTATCTTTTGTAAAAGAACAACACCAAGAGGGGTTACAGTCACAGTTTTGTATTTAGTAGCATGGAGAGTTGAGGATATAGAGGAATGTGAATATATATATCTATATGTAATATAGATATTTAAGTATCATTGAGATGTTACTTTTTGGAAACACGGCCAGTAGATGGCAGTATTCCAGTCTTTTTTTTTGAGACAGAGTCTCACTCTGTTGCCTGGGCTAGAGTGCCATGGTATCAGCCTAGCTCACAGGAGGCCCAGGCGATCCTCCTGCCTCAGCCTCCCAAGTAGCTGGGACTACAGGCATGTGCCACCATGCCTGGATAAATTTTTCTATATATAGTTAGTTGGCCAATTAATTTCTTTCTATTTTTAGTAGAGACAGGGTCTCGCTCTTGCTCAGGCTGGTTTTGAACTCCCAACCTTGAGCGATCCACCCGCCTCGGCCTCCCAGAGTGCTAGGATTACAGGCGTGAGCCATCACGTCCGGCCTCCCAGTCTTTACAGTCTTTTAGCAAACCTATTTAAGGGAAATTGCTTGTTTCATAATTAAACAGCCATTTGCATATAGTGAATGACTGAGTGGATTTAACATATGAATAAACTTATAGTATTTATTGTCCAGGTCTGGAAATATCAGACAGAAGGCCCCATATTTTAGTACACTTTGGTCTTTGGCTATTGGTTGCTTGTTTTCCTAGAGAGAAATCTTAAAACTTTTTGCAACTAATCCTGAGAGTAATATCATAATACACTGTGGATGGATCAGCACATGAAGAAAGTTTTGATTACACTAGAATAATCATTCTAAAATGTTGCAAAGTGAGTCAGTATTATAGTCATGTATAAAGGACACTTTTATAGTCTCAATGTGCTGGGAAAGCCACAGGGAGATGTTAGTTTGCATGCAACAAATACGTTAAATTTCCTTATCAAGAAGTTCTGTCAGTCTAATAGAACCTTTGAAGAAAAAGTGTGTATTTGGTGGATAATTGTTGACTTTGGTATTTATTTGAATTTTATATATATTAGAGATTAGGCAGTAATTCAGAACTGCATTTACTGTAAAGATTAAATATGCATAATGTACAAGCCAATAAAACGTGACTTTTAAACTAATACATACAAGGTCTTTGAACAAAGTTGAAGAATCATTCAACTTCTGTTAATGTGTTTGGTTTATAAAGCTCTTAGCCATATAGTATTCTTTAGAAGGTCTAAGTTTATTCTTTCTGGAAGATTAATTCGTAAGTTAGAAAATATGTTTCTGATAACCATTTGGCCTCAAATGTAACCCTGAAATGAAGGGAACCTTGCTTTTTAAAGAAACACAAATAAATTATTAATACTAAAATGCATTTATCTTAGAGAGTATCAAATGTTGTTA